TGTTGCTTCAAAGGAGTTGTCTTCCATTATTCTTCAATCATTTTTCAATGGGACTAACCTTCAAATGTATATCTCAATGCAACATTAGTCCTATAGGATTGTTATTTAATTACTAAAACCACACATGGGGGCTACATGTACTTTCAATATCCCCCATTTTGGTAATTGATGACAATCTCAACCAGAGGGTTTATATAGTGAACTTTTAAACAAGCATGCAATTTATCCAAGGATAAACTATATACTTGGGATGGTTGTACTATCATCAAGACACTACACAAGAATTTGATGATAGTACACCCATAGTATATAGAGCAAACTCCCCCACAATACATGCATGTGTGAATGAACTTTGAATGTCATTGCATATATTGATTGACATAAACTAGGAGAATATTTCTCTATATACAATACTCATCCATGCAACATAAATATATAACAAGGGTAGATATGCATGAGTGACAACAAGCACTACAAAAATACTTATCTTAAACCCTCTAAACTTCTCCCCCATTGGCAACAAATGCCAAAATGGATGAAAAAAATCTAGAAGACTAATATAGTATGAGTTCCTCCTTAATGTGTGCATATCGCGAAAATGTGAGTGAAATCAAATGCACATATTCAATGATGAAAAATTTGAGGAGCTCGACCCATATTTAGGATCTAGAATGCAACAAGATAGTATGATATGAAAATAAGATTAAACATGGAAGGAACATATTCAAAAGATCCAAAGAACATATTTTGGACAAGATAAAATAGGAATATCCAATGTGATCATCATGTCAAGTATGGGTCCAAAATACATCCAAAACACATGAGTGCGCAAGGATATATGCAATGCATACAAGCACTCACGACACAACCTCTTACCGAAGCCACTATATGAATAAAAGGAACACACAAAGTGATTGGCAAGGAATAAATGATATCAAGGAAAGATATGAACTTTCTTATGTATAAAAGTTTCTAAGTGGCCAATAATATGTATCCACAAAGAAACCCGTATACACAAAAAGGTTGTAAATGATAAGAACATGATATCCACAGGTGAATCCACTATTATATAACTTTGAGCCTAGCATAAGAGCAAGGCGCATGGCACAAAGCACATGGCACAAATTGATCTCATTTGCATAACACAAAGTGACGCAAGCAATCAAAAGATCCGATGAGCCAGAAAGATAAAAGAATATTATGATTTGAGCAAAGGAGTGTTCTAAGGAAAATAGAGAAGCTCCCCATGATTTGCGCACTATTTAGTTTTTTTATTTGGATACAAGTGCACAAAATAGGATCATCACTCCCCCAAAATCAATAGGAACACAAAACAATTGCAAGCAAGCATAGATAAGAAAAGAATCCTAGCAATTGCAACAAAGATATGGTTGAGCAACATGTAAATGAGGTAACCTAATAATAGGCACAACCAAATCGATGTGTGTGAGTCACGTCAAAGCACTTGAGAAGACTAATATAATGATGAGAATTAAGCATCAACATAGTCTTGAGTAAATGAGATATAAGGTGCCAGACATGTCCTTCCCACACACATGAAGTTAAGCAGGTCACACACATCAAGCAAATGGGTTCACAAGCTCACTAGTAGCAAATTAAAAATCAAAGCTTGTGACAACCCATGGTGAAGATAGAAAATAATAGGCTTGTCAGGACAAGCACGAGGACAACAAACTTCACCAAACATGAGTGAAGTAAGATGCAAAGAGGTAAGACACACACTCATACAACGAATGCTTCCACGGAGCCACCAAAGATATAAAAAGAGAACGAAACGGTGGACATGAAAGAATAGGGATATCAACTAGAGATGTAACTTCTCTCACATGTATAAGATTCTAGGTAGATGACAATCATGGTGATATATATCAACAAAGAAGGATGTACACATGAAATAGTTACAAAAGGAAAGAATAATATATCCAAACGGGAGTCAAAGGAAATAACAATGAGATCTTTGCTTGAAAGCATAGCACATGGCTTAATATTATCTTATTGTATATTAATGAACTCCAAACACACAACCATCAAAGACATCACAACTAGAAACAAGAGATCATTGTTGGGATGCTTTGAGAAAGGAAACAAGTATCACAGGAACGAGTCAAGAAATTCATGCCATGATGCAATCTACACAAGGTTGAGCCCATTGATACGTCTCCAATGTATCTATAATTTTTGATTGCTCCATGCTATATTATCTACTGTTTTGGGCTTTATTATCCACATTTATATTACTTTTGGGACTAACCTATTAACCGGAGGCCCGGCCCAGATTTGTTGTTTTATGCCTATTTCAGTGTTTTGAAGAAAAGGAATATCAGACAGAGTCGAAACGGAACGAAATCAACTAGAGAAGTTATTTTTGGAAGGAAAGACACCTGATGAACTTGTACCCCATGTCAGAAGATACAGGAGCTGCCCACGAGGGTGGGGGCGCGCCCACCCCCCTAGGGCGCGCCCCCCTGCCTCGTGGGGCCCCCGTGGCTCCCCTAATGTGCTTCTTCCGCCTATATAACTCCATGTGACCTAAAACTTCCAGAACGCAACATAGATCGGGAGTTCCGCCGCCAGAAGCCTCCGTAGCCACCGAAAACCAATCTAGACCCGTTCCGGCACCCTGCCGGAGGGGGCAATCCTTCTCTGGTGGCCATCTTCATCATCCCGATGCTCTCCATGACGAGGAGGGAGTAGTTCTCCCTCGAGGCTGAGGGTATGTACCAGTAGCTATGTGTTTGATCTCTCTCTCTCTCTCGTGTTCTTGAGATGATACGATCTTGATGTATCGCGAGCTTTGTTATTAGTTGGATCTTATGTTTCTCCTCCCCCTCTTCTCTCTTGTAATGAATCGAGTTTCCCCTTTGAAGTAATCTTATCGGATTGAGTCTTTAAAGATTTGAGAACACTTGATGTATGTCTTGCCGTGGATATCTGTGGTGACAATGGGATATCACGTGATTCACTTGATGTATGTTTTGGTGATCAACTTGCAGGTTCCGCCCATGAACCTATACATAGGGGTTGGCACACGTTTTCGTCGTGATTCTCCGGTAGAACTTTGGGGCGAACACGAGAGCACGATCTTCGGATTTAGGGTGACAGCATGCAATGATCTAGTCAGGTCTCGCAGTGCGCCATCTGCGCGCGGCATGTCACATGTCACCATGATGGCATGGACAAGCATCAAGATGTTACAATTAAATGCAATATGATTTAAACTCATTTAGAATGTACTAATACATGTTACATACATGTTACATAGTAAAGCATTCTGATGCATAGGTTGGACAAATGCTACTTGCTCTTGGGAAAACAAGAGAACTTGTCTTTTCTAATCCCTACCATTGCATACAGAGAACTGACACGGCATGTCGTGCTAGGTAGTCTCAATTTGTTGAAGGAATACACACCCCACCTAGCTGATTCCTTTTTTCATGACAAGAAACAAGGAACAAGGTGGGGAGTTAAGGCATCTAGTTTTCATAATGTGCCTAATACCATGTACGGAGGGAGTAACAACTTCGATGATATGGGAACACTATGTTGAGATTGATTAGGTAGGATTCCCCAAAACCAAATGAGGTAGATAGGGACCAAAGTATTTGTGTTCACATTTGTATTTTCGAAGTTGAAAAAGAAAGGAAAAGTTTTTAATGAACAATCACCCAGAATTTAGAAGTTACTCCCTCCGTCCTCAAATAAGAGGATGCTTGGATCCAAGGTACTATTTTTAATCTGACTAAAAATAGTCTCTTTTAGAGGCTAAAGTTCCAAGCACCCCTGACTAAAGAGAGGCTAGGACTAGTCTTGAGGCTAAAAATTTTTAGTTATAGGAAACCAACTAAAATATGTATTAGCCTTCTCTCCTCATTTAATTCCTCTCATTTAACACATGCGAATTCCGGATTGAAGGGTTTGGAGGATAATAAATGCTCAATAACTTAATTTTAGTTTCTTTAGTATTTGAATCCAAGCATGGATGAGGCTAGCAAGTTTTAGTCCCATTACTTTTAGTCATGGGACTAAAACGTATCCAAGCACCCTCTAAGTGGGCGTTTAGCATTCAAATTTTGTTTCTTTCTTATCACACGAAAATCAAGACCAATAATCTTTGTACTTTCTACATGCACTTAGCTCATTGAAAATTAAAAAGAAGAGATTATGACTTGCACCTTCTTAATGCATTGTCTACTCCACTTCATAATATGTCTTAATATTTCTATATTTCCACTTATTTGAGGACCAAGGGAGTATGTCAAAAAGCCCATGCAGGTTAATTTCCATCATTACCTCCCCACAAGCCCTTGTAGTTTCAAAAGTTAATATAATCTTGAAACAAGTTCATTAACCAACTGATCACCTCTCTCGCATTGTTATCTGCTATCACGTGTTCACACAAAATGTTGCCCAACTGAACAACGCAAATGCTACAGGCACGTCATGATATCAAACCCTGCATTTCCCTTTGGCACGCCAAGGAATCCAGCCATCGACACCTGGAGCCACACCACACGGCAACAGCTACAAAGGGGTCCGTGGACTTTAATGCCTCGTTCATCCCCAATGGTTGCTTCTCTGGCTACTTTATGACCACTAGCTGCCATTAACCCATTTCTGCGGCAGGCAGTCTTTGCACGAGGTGAGGGCACCACAAACATAGTACATTTTCACATGTTTATTACAAGGGAGGGTGGTAGTCTTGGATGATCTATTTTTCACTTTAGCATTCTTTTTTCCATGATCCATCTGAACCCCTTCACAAGCAATACTCACCAACCCAAAAATTATTTTGGCCCGACCACTACCAATTCAGGCTTTGCATAAATCATTTTTCATTACCTGTTATGGCATGTGGTTTTCTTATGGGCCCATGGTTTTCTTAGTCTGGTCCAGTTTTTACTTGTGTTGTTCGGTTTTCATGACCCAGACTGTGCCCCAAGAGGATTCCTCTTGGATGAGGAATTTGGACTCAGGAATGGTTATTTTACTGCAAAATCGTGTTCATTGGCACGCCGGTATAGAAGTGCTGAAGCTTCTACCCTGTTGATAGCAAACAAGGTAAGAGTCTTAGTTAAATGATGGGTTATTTCTGGAGCTGGTATTATTAAATAAGAAAATGGGTTGAAGTTCTTCAGTGATAAATTCCTCACCATCCTGGATGAACGACGAATCTGCCTGTTTGTAGTGCCCAATTCACCTTGTCGGTTCCTAGTGAGTTGGCGACAACATGAGTAACCCGATCGTCAATCTGGTTCGTGCACACTGCACCGAACTGCTCTGCAGTCTGCCAGAGAGGATGCAAGTGGGGGTTAGCCTCTCCAACAGGGAAAATCCGGCTAAAGACAATACGGCAGCCGGCAAGGATCCTCCGCTGCTCAGATGATAGTATGCTGCGCACATCAGCATCATTGAGGTTGGGATGAGAAAAGAAGTTTTGATGAATGCGCCCAATAACCTATTTCAAGAATGTGACAAGTCTGTCAGTATAATCAACTGTGTATTTCAGTTCTCAGGAGTTTACTTGAGGGATGGATCCATCATTACCGCCAACGAAGAAGCAAGAGTGCCATCCTCAGGCCTTTCATCACGATCAATTTCAAGAAGTGATGGTCCAGGAAGGCCAAATTGCCGTCTGCTGCAAGGGAAATAGGTGTATCTGCAGATAATTGTTTGAAAAGGACTTAGTAAGATGCACTTGCTATTAACTCACATCAGAGTAAATATTTGACAGAGATACATGCCTCTCTACAACAATCATATTGTTTTTGTTGTGGGGCCAGACTCTCACAGAGTCATCGATGATCACTACTGCAGATTCCATCCCCAATACCCCATCAAGATCTTTACTTTTTGGTACACGGTCATCGCTGTCAAATGTATCACCGTCACCACCTCTTGAGATACCATCACCACCCCTTGAGATTACTCTCCCTGCAAACAGGGTTCCACTAGGATCAAGAACCTTAGCCATCTCAGTAGCATACAGCTTGTTCCCCATCGTGTACAGATGTAACTCGTAAAGCTTGCTCGCCTACAGCATAAAGCACCAAATACATCAACCTTCAACACGAAGTGGAAAATGCGTCCATGAGCAGTGATTGAGAAACCTAAAGACAACAAACCTTCTCGAGAAAATTCCATATTCCTGGTCTTAGTTTAGTCCACATTTGCATATGATGGAATCGGAACAGATGCCGCTCTGACCTTTCCCAGTCTTGTTCCTCTTTCTTCCGCAAAATCTCTTCATGAATAGGATCCACTTCTATAAACTGAATTATAAGTGCATACAATATTAGTGCACTTGACGAATAGTGAAACAATTTAAGTCTTAGGCTACAAAGTCTAATACCTTCGCAGAATTGAGGAGAGTGTGATCCAAATCAAGCACTAAACAAAGTTTCCTCGATGAAAACATCGTGTGCTGTTCCATGATCCGTCTTGCCCTTTCCTTCTGTATGAGAGCCTTCTGCTGGTCATCATAACCGTTAAGGAGATCATCAAGATCACCCCACTGGTTAGCTGGTGGCCTGGTACCAAGTGTTGTAGCAGGGGCAGCATTATTGGAATCATTCTGTCCAGCAGCTACTCTTGGATCTGCCCTATTTACGCTGACTAAACTTTCTTGAGGAGCAATGAGTGATGAAGCAGCTAACTGTGAATTAGAGACAGGATCGACCTTACTCGCGCTCATGGTGGACTGTCGAGCAATGCTGGATAATGAGACTGGTTGAGATGGCAACACAGTAGTCTGAAGTTGCTCTGCCAGTTGTTGACGGTTAATCAAATTGTCTTTGCTGTCCTGGAAGGCCGGCAGGGCGATACCATTGCTTTTGGCTTGATCAGAGTTCAGAGTATCGTTCTTCTGTGATGTGTTATTGTGGAGGACACGACGGGGATCACGCGCCTTCATACGTATTACTCCAGGGTCATTTTGTGAATTCTACAGCAAAACATATGGTCAGTACTTACAGTAAAGCCAGGAATTGGCACTAAAAGAAAAGAAAAAAGTTCATGTAAAAATATTGACACCGCATAACCTACAAGTTACTACAACCTCAGCATGAGCATTGTGATTTAAAAAATAATCTTCACTTAATATGCCTAAAAATATGTCACCAAACAAATCTAAGTCACTATAAAATAATATGATAGTGACATTCATCAGGGCTTTACCACAGAGGCTGTTTGCGATGTTGCTTGTGGCCTATAAGAAGGAATGTGTGCAACTTCTGCGGTCTTCAGAGCATTGCCAGGTGGTATAACCATCCCAGCAGTGACATTATTGATCATGCCACTAGAGATGATACCTGAAGCAGGCTGAGGCTCTGATGCGGACCTCTTCTGATGTTCCATTTGAATCCAATGCATGAGCACAGTCGGGTTCACAGCAATGTCCTTTAACACTGCAGGCAATGAAACAATAGGAGCTGCACTGGTCTGTGGAACTGAATTAGGTTGGGAGGCTTGGAGAGTTCCAGTACTGTCTGGGATACTACTTACATTGCTAATAAGTTGACTACTGGTCCTAATACTAGGATTCCTGGCTGTCTTAGTTTCAAGCCCTGTATGCTTATTTGATTGAACCCTGTCACCTGAATAGGAGCTGATGTTACTTCCATCTCTACCAGGTGGTACCAGAATGTCTCTGGGACTCCCAGTACTCTCCCTAGCTCTTTTTAACACGGTTTCATCCATGAGAGGTTGGCCAGTTGCCTTGTGCTTCCGGCTATTATCTGATACAACACCCCCCAAGGTCCCATCTTTGGAAGCATTTGGCTCTGCCAAATTTACATGTATATTTGCATCTGCAGTACCACCAGAATCACGGTTCAAAAACCTGAGCCTTGGATCTCTACTTTTAGCTGAAGGCTTAAGAGCATGGCTGGGTCCTGAAACAGACTGTTCAATTTGTTTAGCATAACCTGGAGGACCACCTGCAAAACTGTCATTGCTGCTGATAACTGCACTAGGTCGGGAAGCAGGCATCAGATTCCCACTTGGCGGAGCAGACTTATTAGAAGCTGAAAAGCTTGAAACTTCACCAAATATATCACCTTCTTTGTCTCCAGATTTATCCCCATCATCAGATGGGGTTGGGCTTGGAAGATCATCACTTGCAAAGGTAGACGTCGGGCCATACTTCTGTCGGTACGAGGAAACATCCTTTAGCGCATCATTCACACATGGATAAAGAAAATTTTTTGAAGGATCAATTCTTTCTGCCGAAAAATATCTGTCAGGTGCCATTGGAAATACTCCAAACCCAATGGGCTTTGGCACAGGAAAAGGTGGGGCACTAACTCGGGTGGGTGAGGGTAAGCTGTTCTCGTCATAATCTGCATGAAGGTCCAACAAGGGGCTAACAATTCTATTATTCGCCGGTATCTCCCAGCTGGGGAAACTAGAGCCCCTAGGTGGATTTGCTGCTCCTGACTCGACTGGCAGTCTATCTGATGGAACCTGTCCAGATGGAACAACCACATTCACTGTTTTGGTGCTACAATTGGAACCGGCATTGTCTTCTCCATCTACAAAAACTAACTGTCTCACACGACTATCGAGCTGTCCACAGAAAAGAAACAGAAAGTTAGCATTCGAGCACAACCTACTCGCTCATGAAGCCCCACGAGCTACAAAAAATGCAAACCTCATCTCGCTGGTTGAGTGCCAGCATGTCTGAATATCTGTTCTTTATGTGAAACAGCAGCCTAGCAATTGAAAAGGGACCAATTGGTTATAAGATAACAAGTCAGTTTTAATCAATACTAAATGATTAGCAAAAGATGACTTATATTTACTTCAACAGCATGTTCTTGTTCTGCTCCCTCTTCGGCATCGCATATGAATTAGCTACCTACAACAATGAAAACGATGTGAGCACTATGGTTTGCCAGTTTGGAAAGGAAACAATCCAGCAGTCAGCCTTACAGTGGTGATGGTGTCGATTCCAACAAAAGCCTGTTGCACAAGAGCATCAAGCATAGGCATCGGGCTACCGCTCTCTGGGAACAGCGGCTTAAGGCTCTCAAAGCAAGACCGCAGGCGGGCACACGAAGCCTCAAATGACCTACAACACAACATTAGTAACTTATATCTCTCAGAAACTGAATCAAACATTATCCTAGCCATGAAACATGAGTACATACTTCTCAGCTTCCTCAATGGAAAGCCTCTCAAGCTCCTCCAGTATACTCCCCACGCGCTGGTCAAAATCCAGCTCATCAGCCGCCTCAACGGCCAAACGGGTCTGCTCCATGTCCACTGACTCTGACTTGTCCTGCGCATCAGAGTCCAAGTCGATGGTCTCAGGCTGCTTAATTGGAGGGGAAGTGGACTGTACGGCCTCCCCCTCCTCAATCTCGCCCTCTTCCTTCTCCTCGTCCGAGGTGTCGACGAGGTGCTCTACCTCGTCCTCGTCGGCAGCAGGCCGCGGAACGAGAGGCTTGTTCTGCACAGCTTGCGCCCAAGCAAAGCTGTGGAACGCCGGTGCATAACTCCGGGACATGGTGTACCCCATCCAAACCCTAGATCTCTGCGACGACGCCGACGGAGCAGCGGTGCCACTGGACGACTCCTTAAAGTCGGCGGCACTAATTTCTTCCAGCGACTCTGAGGAGTCCCCATCGGACGTCTCCCCGCCGCCACCGGCGGTGAAGACGTCCCCCCCAGGCGCGACCACCGCCGACCGCGGGCGCTCCCTCGTCATCAGCACGACCAGCCAATCCTCGTCCTTGGGCGTGAGAGTCACGCGCATGTGCCGTCCGCGGCGAGCACCTCTGGCGATGGGCGCGCCTCCCAGGTCTCGTTCTACGCAGTCAAATCTGGCTACCCGGAGCTGAATCCGCAGCTCCCTGTGGCGCCGACCGATCCAGCAGCCGCCGAATCACACCAATGGATCAGAGCCCCGTCAGAATGGGGAGACCGCCCACCGGATTTCGCTGGATCGGAGATGCGAGGGTAGACGAAAAGACAGCGCGGCGCCGGATTTCGGGGAGACGGGGAGGGGCTCGTGAGGCTTTTGCAGAAACTTATACCGAACCCAAGTTTTAATCCGACCGTTTGTGTTTGATTTCCACGGTCGGGATATGTGGACGTGTAGTGTCAAGGTTGTGGCTTCGTGAGGATGGGGGACTCTTTTTTTTTCTATATCTATACTATACTTCTATCTATACTACTGTTAAAAGACCAAAGGTGATTTCCCCTACATCCACACGAGAAAGTGCACACAGGATAACCCCAGACGTCCGATCAGACCCACTTACTACCATCCAACTGTCCACGTTTCATCAACCATACTACAACCAGATCGACGGTTGTAAGCAAATGTTCTGCCAGCAGACTCCCACGTCCAGACTCCTACACATCCCCACGATAACACCTCCTTCCAGCGAATAAGCAGAATTTCCGGGATCAACGCCACCACCACGCCACGAACCTCGCATCGGCACGCCGCCTCGCCGTCCTCGCTCCGCCCCGTCGTCCTCGCTCCGCCCCACCACGCCGCCCTCGCCAGACGACCCTCGCCCCTGGTCTCCGCGACATCCTCGACCCGCCTTGCAGCCCTAACTCTCCTTAGTATGTCGTCGTCACCACGCCGCCCTCTCCCCCGGTGTCTGCGATGTCCTCGACCCGGCGCGCTGCCTTACCTCCGGTGTCATCACCACGGTGGCGAGCAACATCTCCAAAACATCTAACGGACCTGCGAGTGCACAGGTTAGATCAATTGAATTTGCGCGTCTTTTGGTCAGACATAAGATAAAGGGAATTGCTCTTTTAATCTGACAACCTATAATTTGATACTTACAGTACATAATGATTTGCATAGCAAACTGAGTTGAGGCACGGTTCAGTAAGTGTTTCACAACAGAAGCCATTGAGAAGACAATATGTCCGGATCTCAGCGTAGTGGGGTACGTACTCCCTTTCAGGACCTGACGAACAACGACAGTTCAGGTAAATACAGATATCACCTACTCTTAGCAACTAAGATCATGTAAGTACCGACTATGTCATTGCCTCGCAGGTCAAAAAACAGATCCAAAAGAACTAAAGAGACAGAGGGAAAGGGAGAGGTATGCACTAAACAGGGATGCAATATTGAAAAAAAGAAAGGAGGCAAGGGATCGTAAGAAAGCTATGCCCGCTATTTCAAATGGAACGAACACTCCATCTAAGCCACCCGTGGCCATGTCGCCTGGTTACTCAATTTTCTCTGCTCTTTATCATACATTTCATTAATGACATCTAAATTCATGTTAATTAAAAGTCACTTTGGACAGGTTCTGACACTGTGGGGATTCCCAATGCACAGTCTGCTATCACCCAGCAACGACACACACGAGTTGTGGAAGGTCATGTGTTCTCCTACATCCAGGCGACATGCGGCTTTTGTGTGTCAGCAACTGACTTTGGTAATGCAATTTTGATGCAGGCATACCTATTGATGTGGTAATGAGTGATCAGACTCCACTTCATGGTCCATGTTCACTAACAACACCAGATGTTGTCGTCTCTAACAATGAAAATGTTAATACTATCAACTCTGCCATTGAGTCCTCCCAACTGACTGTGTTACGACCGCCACTTCAATCCTACAGATGCAGCAGTTCATATGGTAATCATTTCTGGCTCATATTAACTATCATACATAATTCACACATACATAGTACATAGTATAAACGTGTGTTGCTCATGTTGTCTTGAACCTAATTCACACTGACTATACAGAAGCAAAACAAGCACTGAAGAGGCAGAGGGAAAATGCCCGGTATGAGCAACATAAAGAAGAGATATTGCAAAGCCTACATGACAAACGTCGTGCAGCCAAATCTACAGTAGTGCTTACAACTGGAGAACAAAACCAATCTGATACAGGTGATGCCAGCTACATGATACACTGTATATCTTATTTTTGATTTCCTAACTGAGATTCACTCAATGTTTCTGTAGCTGATGAAGATTGTGATTGGCTACACACAAATGATACATACCTGATACAAAACATTGGAAGAAGGATGGGGCGAGACAACATACTCACTGCGTCGTCACGTGGGCACCATCCCTCGACAATTATAATGGTGCTTTAATTGACTACATATTGGTTCATACCTTGAATTAATCGCTGATACTTGCCCATTTTGCAACATATGCTGTCAGGCAACGACCATGCCGATGATGCATATGGAATACTGGAGCCCGATGACAACACAACAAATATGGATGGTACACATTAGTGCACCTACGGTCCTATGTTTAGTTTAGGAGATCTTATAATTATTACAAACTAAAATTTGTCTACTATAGACTGCTTGGGAGGTGAAAACCACATGTTTGAAACTGAATATGTTGAGCCTGATGAAGAAGCTAGGATGTTAGCCCACCAAGGTACCTTGTTGCTATCATGAGTTTCCATATATAATATAATACTGTCTTTTCGTGGCGTGGCAATATATTAATTAATATTCATATTCCATTCCAGATGTTGACTTTGAATCCTACCGAGTTGAATGATGTCACACTGATGGAACACCCACAAATGATCCTCATGATAGGGTTTACATTAAACTTCCCAAAAATCACCACGTCCTTAGAAAAGTTAGGGACTGCCTCCACTGTGGAGCATTGTAGTTTCAATATGAGGGACCTGCATTTTGTTGCAGAAAGGGGAAAGTAGGTTTATTTAGTCCCGAGGTCCCGAACGAGTTGAAACGGTTGTTCACAAGTCAAGGTGATGATGATGCTAAACATTTTCGAGACAATATACGGTATTTCAACTCTCACTTCTCATTCACAAGTCTTGGGGTCACCCTTGATCGTCGAGTAAGCACTGCAGCAGGAACCGGCGTATATACCTTTCGTGCATGTGGGGGGTTGTACCACGCTCTTGATGAGCTGGTGCCGACTGATAATGGCCCTAGGCATTTGCAGCTCTATATTTATGATACAGATCATAACTTGGTGCACAGGACTAAGAGGTCTCCAGATCTAGATATAGATCTCATACGGAAAATCTGGGAATACTAGAGCAAAACCCTTATGCACAGGCTTTCAAGAGCCTTGGGTCTGTTCCGAATCTAGATGAGTACAAGATCTCACTGAACACAGATATCAAGTTAGATCAACGTAGGTACAATGCCCCAACGACTTCTGAAGTGGCAGCGATATGGGTTGAAGGGAGCGACCCACAAAATTGTTTTGACAGGAGTGTTGTCGTACATGCCAAAAAAGGAGACCGACCCCTCTATATTAGAGCGTACTATGGCTGCTATGACCCATTGTCATATCCACTGTTTTTCCCACGTGGGGAGACTGGTTGGAATCGTTGGATGCCGTATGTTCAGACCCCCGATGACACCATCCAATTTCCAGCGCATAATTCTGGACCGCAAGAAAACCGGACCTCTGATTTACATACATGTATGATGTTCATTATTAATTTGTTATATTCGCGGCAAATGTTGTTCAATTCTTTTTTTATCGAGCGTGTCCCAATTGACAATATGGTTCAGTCATCATCAGTTTATGATACTATTTTTTATTAAATATTTTTGATATTAAGCATAACAAAATTTCTTTATCGTCAAGGTCATCTTGTGGTCTCTAGATGTTAAATTACATGGAGTACTTCACAGGAGATAGTTTGTCCGACACTCCCGAACAGGTATATTTTTCATCGTATCATGATATTAAGTATTTCATGTTGTACCATTATTTAGAAACTAAGTCTTATTACTACTTCACTTTAGGTTCACATGACAGATTTTTTTAGAACAAAATTAGCTGTCATTTTAGTCAACTCGGAATTTAATGATGACGATATAAGAAACCGAGACTTGGATGATGATGAAACCAACACGGATCCTTCTGATTGTATGATTGTTGAAAGACCTCCTAGCAAACCTAACGCATCAGGCTCATCGTCACAAGTTGAGCTCATCTCGCAATCTTTTATCCTTTCGCCGTCTGTCACTCCAACAAACGACGATTTAATAGATGAACTTTGCTTGTTCATCAGCATGGTTGATGATGTCCCGATGCTAGAGTAAGACACATTTTTGCAGTTCATTTTTGTTTGTAATAAACTATTACTCTTGTATAATGACAGAATTCCCATTTCACAGGAGCGAATGGGTGAAAAGCTCTCAGCCTTACCCTATTAGTTTAAACTTGAGACAATTAAAGAACATATTGAAAAATGATGAGTACATGGATGCTGATTGTTTTAACATGGCTGTGAGGATACTAGCGTGCCACGACGTCCAGCTTGCTAGAGATGTCCCAGTACACTATATGGATCTACGATTTTGTGTAAGTTATTTTAATCACATTTTACATTCTGCCTCGTTCTACTAATATTTTCTTACAATATTGTAGTCCATGTCCCACTATGCACGAGTCCCAAGTCATCGTGACGGTATGGACATTGCTATGTTGGCACAATTGTTTGATAGCTGGCCTGACAGTAATGAGTATCATATCTCAGAATGTGATACGGTAAGATTTAAATTTAAATTTATTGTTTTTTTGTGCTTAATGAATGATAATTATTGATGTATTTCTAAATGCATGTATCATTGTAGATTTTATTGCCTCGTGATATTCTTGGGTTATTTTTATTGTTTGTCTTGGACCAACATAAAAAAGTTATATCTATTTTGGACCCGCTTTCTACCCACTTTTGGAAAGCATATACTTGAAACTATGGCCAACGATCTAAACCTTGCACTCCAAGCTGCAAACCCTGCCTTCAAGGAC